AACCATTTCCTTAATACATAAACCTGAATGCATTTTAAATAAATAGCTGCTGCTGGCAACGTTTTTATTCAGGTTGGGATAATTGATACCGTATCTTATTGCCACGTTAATTCCTTTGTTATTATTGAGAAAAAGTTGTTATATTACATTAAATTTAAACCATGACGTCATTAATCTGATATGTCAAAAGATTTTCTTTCCTGGGTTGGCAACAAAAAATTATTTACGAATTGGTTGTTGCTTGGAAGGAATGAACTGATTTCATTCATACTGAAAAGGCCTTCATACATTTTCATTTCAGGTGTGCATAGAACTTAAACATTTTGCTTTATCCAATTCCGCTCATTTGGGGGGGGGCTTGCCTGCTGATCTGTACTATTAATATATGTGAGCATATGTCTGTTTGTTTGTTTTTGGCATTATATCATATTTAATTAGCTGAGATCTGCGATGTCCTAGTTGATACATAGTACATGTTTTACTTTTCATCTTTGAAGTGTAAGAAAATGAGAACACTGAAGCTTAAAACTGGAAATGAAACAGGTAGCTGTTTATCATTATATTAACTCGATGATATGAGAAACTTGATAACAAAATACCTTTATATAAAATATTAGCAAGGGAACAATGCTTCATAAAAATCCTTGTTTGAAATGAATGTCGAGTTAATTTTACATTTTAAATCATCGACTTACAATATCTAAAGAAACTCAAGGATTGTTAACGAAGTCGCGATTTTTCTTTAGCTAACGTGTTAATGTTATGCTAATTTCTCTCTGCACCTTCTAATTTTTCATCAGCTTTCACAAGAAGAATTATTAGTTTTGAATTTACACAGCGAGATAAGTTTTAAAGGAGAATACTGAGGCAATAAAAAGGCAGATTTCGTTGTTCTGAGAAAAGAATACATCTAGTTAACTGACTTATAAACTGAATTAAATAGTTGTCTATTAGAATCCCATAAACTAGAACTGAATTATTTAAGTGCAAGTTATATTGTACGTTTTGCTCTTTTAAGTAGTTGAGTTCTTGAAATCTAGCAAGTATGTGTAGTTACTGTTCGTCAGTTTTAAGTTAAAGACCATGAGAAATAATTTAATAAATCTTTTAGTTACGTCGAATGTTTTACCTGTGTTGCTGAAGTTTAATTAGAGTTCTGTGTAGCTATGGAAACAGTAAATTTGTGGTATCAATAAGGGTTGATACAATTGTTGCAGTTGAGTAGTTAATTATATTTTCACCTTAAAAAGTAATTAAGCATACTTAATCAATCCATCAACAGTTGGTTATTGAATGAGTGACAAGATAGTATCCTATAAAAATGAATTTAAAGTTATACATCTCAAGAGCTGTGAACAGTTACACAAATTGCCATCTTATTCACTTATCATTTTTAAAACACAAAATCGAAAGATAGGAAGGGTGAGAATTTCATCTTAAGCTACTTAATGGAAACAAAGCAAATTGTAGCTTACTTCGATTTTTAATCAATTAGATTCGATTTTCATTTGCAAGTAAAATCGATACACGAAACCTAATGCAAGTATAGATTTAAACACTAGATTTCATTTAAAGCAAAAGTGGCATGCTTTGTTGTTAATTTTCCATCGAAATTCCCATAAAGAATTAAAAGTGTAACTAAACAAGATTGCTTTTGCTGTTTATTCGATTTATGATAAAATTTAATCATCATATTCCAACACTAGCTTGACCTCAGTTAAAGGCAAGCTATTTACAACCATTTTCAGAAATTATATAACAGGCTAAAGCATTTAACATGATATTTTCCCCTTTTAATTTCATTTAAGAGTAGGAAAAATATGTTTTTTTCTTTCTCATTGAAACTGAACTAAATATAAACCAAAATGAAATATTTTGGTGTTAGCATTCTAACTCCGGAACTGAAGCAATTAAATTAAGGAAACAATTATGACATAAAAGGCTTAAATATCAGACCTTTGATTGTTATAATTTCAATTTTACACAAATATAGGTTATTCCCTCGAAATATATAGAGTTATTTATTATTTATATTATTGCAGTTTTGTTTGTGTTATTATTTGCAGTGTTTGTCTCCTTCTAGATACATTACCGTACCGCTACCATACCCTGTTACAGTGCTACCAATGTATCCATGCTGCTATCTAGTTAATCACAGTTCTAAGAATAGCAAAGCTTATCGTATAAGTGATCTAATTATTTTTGCCTTCCACCGACTTGTATGTATTTTCGGTTCAAAACTTCAATAGTGAATTTTCACTGAATAAGCACAAATAGGATCCCCAGAACAATTTTTTATTATTTTAACAATGGTGTCTGTCTGTATGTGTTTGACGAGTTTTTAGCCAACCATAACTCTTAATATGAAATTTTCAAACCGTTTCATGTTCCGTATTCAAGCTTTTTTGTTTATATAAAGAGGTGATTAGACTTGCGGTAAAATTGGACAAATGAAAATTGCACTTCACATGAAGCCGATAACAGGCTTTTATGGAAAACTAAAAATGGTATTTTACTTGAAACCCATAACGGTTTTTACGGAAACACTATGTCTTCTGTAAGCAGCTTAATAGAATATAAATGGTGGAAGTACCACGTTGGTTGGCAGTGTTTGAAAATAAGTAGTGTACTTCAAATGCATTTCTGTTTCGGGAATCTTTGATTTTGTTTCCTTTACCTGTAATCGGCGTCAACGGTTCACGAACATTCGAAAGTTTATCGAGACATGCTTTGACATGAATGCGAGCTACATCTAAATTTTCTCGATATTCTTCAATGGTTTCGTATTCAGCATCAAAGTCTTGAGATTTGGAAGCTTTAAATTTCATCCAAATCATCCAAATCTGCAATAATTCGCTTAAAGAAGAAAACAGAATTTCAGTTTCTTCACGATTTAAACATATTTCATTTAAAGACTCCGTCAAGGGAATGTAACATTTCGTGAACGTTGTTGTAACAAGCATTCTTCTTTGAAGAAGATTTTGCAGTTGAAATCAAATCTTATTAATTAAGTCAATATCAACAAATTCATTGAATTTAATTTTAAAATATCACGACTAGTTAACTGCAGTGTTAAGAACAAAATGATTATCAGTCTATTTTCCCTTTAAAACTTTTATTACTAATGATACAAAACTTTTATTACGAGCTTATTGTTTTATAACCGAAACTAGATCTAAACGTAAACAGTGATGCTGATAACAACTAGAAAATTACCTCGTTATCCTCTTTGCCAGATTTACTTTGTGGTTACCTGAAAATGCAATAATTGATGTAGTTCAAGTTTCAAATTTGAGTTAGGATATCGGAGTATGATTTCTTTGCATTATAAGGTTTATGTTTTAATTCTAATAAAGTTGATATTAAAGAATTTAAAGGCGAAAGTCAACTGAAGAATTCCAGTAGAAATATAGCAAAATAGGAGCATTTTTTATATATATTTGAAGAAAGTTTGACCTTTTTACGAATCTTACAAAATATTTCCTCGAATTCAGGAAATTCAGGATTATGCAAAATTTGGGGGTGCATAAAATAAGTAACTTTGTAAGAAAATTTCTCCCTCCTTAGCGAGTGTTTTCTTGGTGTAAAGGGAAGCACGTCCGGCTAGCAGCCAGCAAGTCTGGAGTTCGAATGTCGGGGAGAAACCTACTAATTTTTCACCTATCCTGCTCTGAATCAAAATTCTTATGGCCTTCTACTGTGGCGCTCGAACTAAAAGATATTGGACGATAATTCGTCACCCGAATTTGATAATTGGATCTCCATCTTCTCGGTCAACCTTTAAATGGGGTATGACGTAAGGTACTTTCTTTCTACTTACTGCGTGTTTTTCTGATATAATTGGAAACCCGTCAGACTAGCAATCGGAAGTTCCGGAGTTCGAATCCCAGCGAGGACATTCCAAAATTTTCTCGTCTCTTGCTCCAAAATAAAATGCTTATTTTCTTCATACTTAAATACAGGGAGTGATATTACGAATATTCCTCCTTGATCCACGTATTCAAAAATTGCTTTCCGAGTATTTGCGTCAAACAATTTCATTTAAAATTGTAGTATTGTACTATTGTTAATTATGTAATTAAACGCTCTTTTTAAGAACTTTTGTTTGAAAATCAATCCCCAGTAGAGAGCGTAAATGCTTCATAATGCATGTTTCTTGTTCTTGGTCAGAAAATGCCACTTTACTGCGTGATGAAATTAAATTTCAGAGAAGAAAAGAAAAAATTAGCTCTGTTTTAGCAGAAATTCATTCATTCACATATTCCTGTTACTATTTGAATGGGCTAACCACTTTTCCCAGAAGAGCACGAACGAGGAGTAAGATAATGCTGATATTTCCCTCGGCTAGAAGGCAGTAGGGAAGAAGCATGATACCCAGACAATCAAATCCAAGTACAAAAGGAACTAAAATATGAGAAGGCTAAAATTAAAATATAGCAGAAAAACTATCTAAATTTCTAAACTATATAGAAACTAACACGTGAAAGACACGTATTATCTACCACATTTCGAGCACCATTGCAGATATTATTAATTTTTTTGAAACCATAAAGAGGAGAAAATCAGCTACCCCCTCACCAGGATTCGAACTACGGATCTTGCATTACTTATCTTCCATCCTGAAAATACATATAAGAGAATTTGATAATTGCTTTTAAAATTTACTAAAAGCTTCTGCGTCATGCTTCTATTATCAGCAATATACGTAGAGCATATAAAAGTCGAAATATTTCTGTGGAGTGTTCTTAAATAGTCTCCTAGACTTAGACCATTCTCACGGGTTCCCTGATATCTGAAAAATCTTTCCTTCGGAATATCCCGCGAAAGATCTTTGGCAAAAGCAAAAGCTGCAGCTGTTGAATAAACTGCAGAGAGAGAAAGAGAGCTGGCGCGGTGTGAGAAAGGGAGACTTGATGGCATATAGCATCGAACTGTTGATACCGGCAGTCCCACACCAATATCGACTTTCTCCCTTGCTATGTCTCTTTTCTTCCCTCTGTGCCTCGCAAAGACACCTCCTCCTTCATCGATATCAGACTCCAATATCTTGAAGAAGAAGAAATCTGTGGGGAGTCCAGACAGACACCTGAACGCAACGCGCCACTTCATTTTCTGGTCTTACTTTGGATGAGTTTGATTTCTTTGTAGAAGTTTGCTCTCTTTTCTTTAACTTTCGTGGCTTTGCTTCGTCCCTGGGTGGCACTTCTTGTTCCGCTACTGATCTTAATGGTAAGAATCTGAATATTTAGCGATTGGACTGTGTATTTTTATTTAAATTCTGATATCTACAGAAAAATTTGAAATTTGATATATGACCTATCTGTGGTCTTCGATGCATTACGTTTAGAGAAAGAGTACCATAAAATACTAGAAATAAAATATAGTACCATAAGTAGAATAAAAGGAATTGCGAAACAGAATTTGCAAAAGCGAAAATGCAGTATTATTCCTATCTCAGTCTGTTATGAAAGCACCTGGCCCAGTACTTTATATAACAGCAACTTTATACGTACGAACCTTCAAAAAACATAAAAATTTAATGTCGGATTGTAATGAATGACCTGAGATTTTCTTAACATTCTCAAACTATTTAGAAGAATTAGTGCCACCAAAAGCACATTGCACTAAATGCTTACTTTATAGCAATGCTGAAAAAATTAGAATTTAAAATGCTCAGTCTATGTGGAAGTTAATTCGTCGGGAAGTCACAATTTGTAGCAATGCTGAAAAAATTAAGATTTAAAATGCTCAGTCTATGTGGAAGTTAATTCCTCGGGAAGTCAGGATTTCGAGGGAAGGTGACATAATTCTATCTTTCTCAAGGCACAAAATAATGTCTGAAGTGCACAAAATAACTTTTTTCAAAGAACGACAATATTCTACAGATTAAGTTTTCCTTCTGTCAGAAGTAAGACCCGCTATTTGCTCTCTCTCTAGAATTTTTCACCTAAGAAAACACATCAGAACGTTACTTACGGGAACAGCTTATAGCTGAATTTTGCCCAATTCCATATTTCAAATTGGTACACTTTCTCAATACCCATAAATAAGATAGTGATTATCAAGAATTCTGAATTCGATTAGTTGATAAAAACGCATACTTTATTCCCTTATGCTACATATTTCTGCCTTCTTCCTACTTCCAGATCATTTTTTTTTTCTGGCTTATAATTTACCACTTAACATCCGTTAGAGAAAGACGTAGATGTACATTCGTACAAACCATTAAATTGTTTTGAAGCAGGAATGTTTAAAAATGCATGAAAATTTATCTTCAATTAATTTAGCATTGTGCATAAGATGTAATAATTTTTATTTTGTATTTAACAGTGAAAATAATATGCATCGCCATTATCCAAGTAAAGAATTACCTTAGAATAGGTCACAGAAAGCTCAACTATAACTCCCATCTAGCTCGAAATGCCTGGTCTGAGATTCTAGCAAGTTTTAACTTTAAACGAAGATCCAAGAATGTATTTACTAAAGTGGAAAATAAGAGTTTTAGAACGTAAATTTAACTCTTTCAATACCTCAATTTAATTCGGAACACCAGATAGCAAATAGTGAAGCTGAAGGATTCGATAGAGGACTGAATTACTCCATTGTCGACAAGAATTTAAAACAATCCCCAGAATTCATTTGCCTCAGTTTTTCAATAAAATTCCTTGGAGGAGGATGCTTTACCCTCGAGAGCGTCTGATTTCTCGTCAGCACTCAATAGTCGCTCTGGAGTTCTTCATTTGAACGCTCAGGCTGGCGGAAGGAGCGAGGTGTAACTAAAGACTGTTCGCCTTTGTCGGGAAATTGAAACGGGGCCCTTTCGTATAAAGGCATGCAGCGAATTAGACATCCTTTTAACAAGATCGGCAATTTATTCGAATAAAGGAACAGAATTTAAGACCATTACGTAAATGGGCCTCCTTTCATTCTTCTCATTTCCTGCACGAGTCGTCCACTGATCCCCGATACAAACACTAGCTTGCCTCCAGTGATTAGTTTTAAATGTTTTAAAGTTACCTTTTGTTTCGGCGATCGTTGCGAGCGACAGGGTTTGATAAGAGTTGGCGGATAATCGTGAAACTGGCGAATAAATCAAAGCGCCAAACAAAAGAATAAAGAGCAATGAAGTTTAACTGAGCACTTAGGTGATTAACTTCTCCTGCAACAGATGCATTACTGTAAATTATAGATTTCATTATTTTTCCAGAATGTAATGATTTGTTGTGTTCGCCTTTTATAATTCTGAATACTAGCTTGTCTAGGTAGAAATATCCGGAAAAGGATTGTAATTTCGAAAATATTGCATGGATTTGTGATGGCATATTTATTTGTTTGACAGCAATATCACTGATACACGTGTGGTATGTAAAGTATAAACGCGTAGTTAAGTGTACAGTTTGGATTGCAATTAAAATTATCGCATATTTCTGTGGATGAGAAATGTTCGGTTGTTCAGTTAATTATGACTAAACCGTCAAACATTCTTTACTTGATAGGAGGAATACAGTTATAGAATTCATTTAAGAACTTGGCAAGCAGTTAATTTACATATAGTAAAATTTATGAATGCTGAGTGTCCCAACCAGGACATTGGTTAGCGACGCTGAATGCTGTACCGAACGGCTCGGGTTCGAATCCTGGAGAAGGCATGGATGATTGTAAATATATAGTGCATGTTCGGCATGGGGCACTATAAATATGCGGCTAGCCGAAAGTTCTCTCGAGGGGTTGGTAGTAGGTGACGAGGGGTGGGAGATCCTCGGAACCTCGGATCTCCGGGGTGACCCTCCACATCAAAATTGGGGGCGAAATTTAAGTCGTACTTTTCCCTGTATGGTGCTCAAAGCTCTTGCCAGCGACAGGCGCAGTCTTACACTACTAGCCACGATGATTTTCGTGGGCTTGTTCTATTGTTCTAATGTTACTATCAGACAATAGAGATAACACATTCGAACAACACATTCCAAAAGCTGTAAACGCATTCCATTCAGTTAGCAGAAAATGAAATCCGAAAAAGAATTGTTGGGGTTTTGGGGAGATGGGCATTCAGACTACGAATAATAATGAACCTATAAACTATACTAGAATAGGTATTTCTTGAATGAAAAATCTACATTTTTCGGTCTAAGGATATTAAGGAATGGGGACATAGAATGTATATATAATCGTTCTCTGGGTGCAATTCTAGCGCAATTAAAAAATCAAGTTTTAAGATAAATGTGCTTAAACTATTCCTTGGTTTTGAAATGCAGGTATGTGATACTTATTGATGGATTAAGGAGTAAACAGTATTAAAATGCTTCATAAATGTTCTGTTAATAATAATAACTATAATCAAATTAACATTAATTAATAATAAATTTTAACAAATTTTGTTATTGTTGTCTTTTTCTCCCTTTATTATGTTGAACTACATTGGAAGTTTTGGATTATAATAAAGAAGAATTTAGAGGCAGAAGGTTTTGTTAAAAATGTTACCAAATTTTTCATGTAATACAAGACTATGAAATGATATTCTTCTTAATCATATTTCAGTGCTACATCATTAATGAAAATACAAACGAGAGCGAATTATTTCCCAAGAATATCCAAAATTTCGTAAAATTAAGAATAGAACCTATTTTTTTGGCTGAAACTTTTGTTGAAGTTAAGTATCCAAATTTCTTCTTAGATATTGCAAAATGCTTCCTTTAAGCAATTTTCATTGTTGCATCTTGGAAAAAAACAAACATTTCTTGCGTCTAGAAGCTTTCACTTTTAAACAAACATATGTTTCCATAAAAAGAGTCTAAGAACAGAAATTGTTTTTCAGTTTTTAGAACAGAAATGTAGTGCATACGTGCAGAATTTCTTGTTAGTATTTGAAATAAAATTTTAGCATGTCTGATCTGTGAGATCCTTTACATTAGCAGCAGTCTGGAGCATGCTGAAGAGTAACAGTATTTTAAACAATGTAGGTAAGAAATCAAAGAATGCAAAATAGACCGCCATCTGTTAGTGCGGTACTAAACTAAAATATATACCAGTGGTACTTTTACAATGTTGGGTAGGTTTATAACTCGAAATTTATATTTTTTGAACTGTGTCAGTATTGTTGCATATGAGTAGTAAACATAGCCCTAGAACCGAATTTTACTAAAATGTTATAATATTACAATTCAAATGACTAATGAGCTAAATGATTTTGGCGATCTTGTGATATTTATGTGTGTAGAAAGTTCTCATGAAGAATATTCTGCAAAACATTTCCTCTCATTTATATTAAATATAGGGAAAGTAGAGTTTCAGGACACAAACTTGAGAAAATTTTCAGCATTACCATTAATAAAAAATGCGTTCTTTATCATATCAGTAATTACAAATAGGCACAGTTTTTATTCATTAAGAGAACTACTGCATCTCAATTGGCTTAGATGAAGAGATTTAATTTTCTAGAAGATATAAACTTCTCATTTTTCGGAATGTTGCATAACGAGTTAGACTGTTCATTAGAGTAAAAGCTACACACAATATACTCACTATATAGAAAGTTATGGGTCCACAATATTATAAGACCAATTGTAGCAAAGAGTAGTATTATAAATTCGACTGATGTTACTAAATATATGATTAGAGAAAACTTAACGTGAATTTGCTTGTGATAATAACAAACGCATTTTGGTAGATACTGAATGTTAGGCAAAACTGTAAGCATTCACGATCTGTAGTCCCAAGGTACTAACTACTATTTTATGTCAACTGAAGGCCACGTCATTTATGTATGAGTTTTGATACTTAAGAGGATTACTGTTTGCAATAAATATTGCAGTTTTATGTTATAAATCTTGAGTGATAATTTTCGTCCTTATTGTTTTCCTATTTTAAATTCATACCAATTTTTATCTATACTTATATGCACAACGGCTTCTTTTGCGTTTAAATGTATTTATTTAGCAGAGAAATATTATATATAATAAATATTTACTCATCTCATTTCATCAAACTTTTTTTTTCCTTTCTAGGACTACCATAGGAATAATCGAAAATCCCTATCTTAGGACAATCGTAACTTCTTATCTTAGTATCTAATTGTCAGTCCCTGGTTTATTCTGCAATAGTATTCAAATAATATGTTTAATCCTGTTAGATTGGAGCCGGAAACTATTAACAACTAGTTGCTATTCGAATCTTGGCGAATTCTTCTCGTCGCCACATGAATAAATAGATGCATCGGATTACGGCAGCCCTGT